AATTCCTTATTTGAGAAAGGTAGATTGAATCATTATTGTATTAATAGGTGAGTGTTTAAGATTGTTAAATAAATATGAGGATGCAATCACTTGGGTGGACAAAGCATTAGCTATTGATCCTAAGCATGTGAGTTCCTTATACGAGAAAGGTAGATTGAATCATTATTGTATTAATAGGTTAGTGTTTAAGATTATTAAAAAAATATAATGAATCTTTTTAAATACTAGATTAAGCACTCTCCATCAATCCGCAACATACATTGTCTCTCAACTGTAAAGGTATTTATCAACTTTAACTGTAGGAGATTGTTTAAGAGATTAAAAGAAATACAAAGAAGCACTGATTTATTATGAGTAATCATTAAAGAGTGATCAAAATAATCAATATTCAAAAAACTAAAAGGGTACTCATAACTTTTTAATTTAGAATTCTGCTAAAAGAAATTGAATTAGTGAAAATTTAATATCAAATATGTTACATATTTATATTCCTCTTTGCAATTTACTTCATTATGATTGATTATAATTCTTTTTCTGAAATCACAAAGATTATTCAACTCTTTATTAATTTCAAGAATTATTATTCACAGTTGATTTTAAGGTTTAGTTCTCAATTTTATTTGTTTCTTTAACTTTATTTCATCAATGCTAGCCTAAGTATTGTTATAAGTTCTAAGGAAGATTTTCCAGTTCTTTAATTATCTAATTTATTTTTATAATTATTTTATGAAAAAAATATTATGTATCATCATTTAACAACTTATTGGTAAGAGAATTATTAATTCCTTATAATATTTGATTAGCAATATACATTTCAAATTATTTATACAGATATTAATAGCTATACTCTAAGTTAAATTAGGTAATTAATTAAAATAAGTAAATTAATGAACACAATAAAAGTTCAATTTAGTTCACATATTGTAATCATAATAAATATGTTATATCAAAATTTCATTTATGTATCCAATATCAATAGCAAATATTTCTGTCGGCAAAGTATAATATTCCATTTAAAATTTACTGCTTTTTTTAGGCTAATGTAGTATTGTTTTTGCGATTCAAAATTTAACAAATGAATATCCACCTCTAAATTTTCTTTATAAAATCTACTTGAAAATTAAAGTTTACTTTGCTTTCGGATAGTTATTCCAACTTCAAAGATCTTGTTTTAAATTTGTCTGATTTATATATGAAGTTCTAAAATTAATAGAAAAATCAATTAATAAACATTTCAGAAGATTATTGCTAAAGTATCCTATCCTATATAATTCCGCTGTTGGAAGAAAGTAAGTTATAGAACCAAGTTATTTTAGATTTTCATAGAATTATGAACTAAGAGTTGTAAGAATACTAATATTGATATTAAATATTCTTTAAGAGTTATACCAAAAAAGGTAGCGCATTACAGGGCAGGGCCATGTTATTTCTCAATCAATCCTTATTCAAACCATTGAATTTAAACCTTTCTACTAAATTTTTGTGTAAATTTCTTGTATATTAACTATTTGTGAGAAGTGATTTAATTGTATTAAAGTTTCAAAATTTCTTCAATTTTCTCTGTTAAGCATTTTTCAAAAATAACTTCCATTGCATTGTAAATCTTCATTCTCTGTAGATTTTGGCTATATTAATTTCACTAATATATTTAATTTAAATAGTCAATGATTTTGAAGCTATTCCTATTTTTCTTTTTGCTTAAAAATAAAATTGGTCAATAGGTAATCAAATCAATTTTATTTTTACATTATAACTTTTTTACTTAATATCCTTAATACATTCAAACTCAATAGCTATTAGATTTATGATTACGAAAATGATAAGTTTTTGAATTGAGTTTAATAGAAATAAGGTAATTGAAATTTGAGAGTGAATGAAATATATATTAGATATAAAATATTAAAAAATGATTTAATAAATGAATTTAAAGATAAAATGTTAACAAGATGACCATTAGGATGAGATAGACACGGTTTGTTATAACTAGTTTTGTACAGAATTTAGATTGAATTGTTTTAAATGTATGAAGAAGGCAAGAATCCATCATGATCATTTTGATGATGTTGAAAAACTCAATACTGTGATTGAATTCATTGAAAGTAAAAATAAAGAGTGTGATAATTTGATAAATGATCTTGATACATATCTAGAGAGTCTGAATCAATCATTTACATTATTAAAAAGGGGAATCAGATAAAAATATTCATTAATAAAAGAAAGATCTCTATAATTGAACTCTTAGTAACTAAATGATTATTTGAATTCAACCGTCAAATTAAATGAATACAACTAATCCATTAAAACAATCATTTCAGATTAAACTAAGAAATTAACTCATACATTTAATAACTTATATCAATAATTAAATTTATCATCATTTAATTATCATTATATTGATGATAATTCTATAAAATTATCTAAAGAGTTATATGATAAAGGTAGTCATATTATTACAATCCTTAGGTTTTGATTTATATTGGAAAGATAAACTTACTGAGGCAATAGAAATATTTGATATTTCAATACAATAAAATCCAGACAACCATTTATCTTTATGGTGTAAAGGTAAAAATAAGAGAAGATTAATAGGTTCATGTTTAAGATTGTTAAATAAATATGAGGATGCAATCACTTGGGTGGACAAAGCATTAGCTATTAATCCTAAGCATGTAAATTCCTTATTTGAGAAAGGTAGATTGAATCATTATTGTATTAATAGGTGAGTGTTTAAGATTGTTAAATAAATATGAGGATGCAATCACTTGGGTGGACAAAGCATTAGCTATT